AGCAAAGGGGAGCTCCCTCTGTACAAGTGACCAATGATGTTGAAGCAAAGGGGAGCTCCCTCTGTACAAGTGACCAATGATGTTGAAGCAAAGGGCTCAAAAGCAAAAAGGTCAATTGAACACAAAAGGGAGCCCCAAGCTGAACGCATGGGGCCGGGCTATTGGAATCGTATCTCCAAATCAAATACATTTTCACACACAATTGTGTGTAATTTTGGTAACTGTTAAATGTGAATCAATAATGTGAGTTTCTTTACTTATTTCCGAATTTATACTAAAAATAGAGATTATTAGAGAGAGAGTGTGTGTGTGTGGGGGGGGGGGAGACTGCACATCTTTGTATAGTTGTCAATGTAGAAAAGCACACAGTTCGATACCACTTGGTCTTGCTCTTGTTCCAGAGCATTCTGCAGGAGCCTCTGCTTGGCGCTGAACTCCTGATGCAGACTTTCCCACTTGATTCTCATCTGGTCTTCAGTGTATGACTTCTCCCCCTCCAGCCCCGGCTCTGGCAATAACACATCAGGTTTCTCACTAGCAAAGCAATAAAGAATCTGAATTCACAATCTGAGCAAAGTAACAAGATCGAGAGATTACTGTATATATAGGACTTTAGTCATTAGCATACATTTAAAAAAATAGATCTCTTGAGATGAATCTCAAAATAAGTAAATATGCAAAATAAGTAAAATAGTCTCTTTCCCACTATTGTTACACTATTCGCAGCACATTGATAATTTCTCAAATACACTGATAATGGTGCAGTATTAAATAGAGGCAAAAAGTGCTTAAGCTTTTTAAAAAAAATGTTTGTGTGTATGTGTGTGTACTGTCAAATTGAATCGGACTGGTACAGGAGGAGAGTGTCCCTCCTTCTCCAGCAGAGCATCTGGTGGATTAGAACTGCTCACCTCTGGGATTGCAGTGCAGGTACTTGCCACTAGGTCCCCAGAGATCACCCTTAAACTTTTTTAAGAGGCTGAAAAATATCCAGGATGATGACAGACCAGTGCGTGATGACAAAGTGACCACAAATTTCTATCCAGCTCACCTCACTGCCACCTTTTAAACATAATACAACACAATGCAGACATGCATGCAGCACTTCACTAACAGTTTTTACCATGAGTTGAGACACAACACACACACACACACACACACACACACACACACACGGGTTCTGGGTGATGAAATAACCAGACAGACGCAGAAGTGAAAGAAAGGCTGTAGTATCAATCAAGACAGGCAGAAGCATGACACAAATTTGAGAGCACAGCTTCTAAGGCAAGCCAGATGCCATTGTATGTATAGACAACATTGTGTTTATACATTCATCTGTGAATGGGTATTTGGGCTGCTTCCACTTTAGACTATTTTAGATAATGCATCCAAGCATTTTTTTCTTTTAAAAAAGAAATATCCAACCAAAGTGTCCATCACCTGAGAAGTGGATAAACAAATGTTGGTACATACAATTGAACCGTATACAATGATAAAAAATACTGATTAGTTAATAAAACACTTCCCAGCATGGATGAATCCAGTGGACATCATGCTGAACAAAAGAAATCCATTCTCACCACTGGACCAATTGGTAGCATCAGGATGGATGGTGAAGAGATTGAGATTGTTCACAGCTTCAGTTTGCTTGGCTCCATGGTCAACACTCTTGGCACCAGCAGCCAGGAAATCAAAAAAACGTATTGCGATGGGAAAGTCTGCTGTTAGGGACCTCTCTAAAGGACTCAAGAGCAACGGTGTCTCTCTGGAGACTAAAGTGTGCCTGATACAGGCCATGGTTTTTGCAATCACTTGTTATGCATTAGAGAGTTGGACAATTACTAGGGAAGACAGGAGGAGAATTGATGCCTTTGAGCTGTGGTGCTGGAGAAAAGTATTGAATGTATCCTGGACTGCCAAGAAAACAAACAGATTCATCCTGGAGAGGGTTAAAGCAGGTTACTCCTTGGAGGCAAGGATTCTGGGGCTTCGTCTGACATGCTTTGGACATGTTGTAAAGAGAGACAGGTCCTTGGAGAGAGACATCATGCTTGGTAAGGTGGAGGGACAGCGCAGGAGGGGAAGACCCTCTATGAGGTGGATTGGGGTAATCAGGATGGGAGTGTCAGAGACAGTGCGATTGGCACAGAATAGAGCAGGGTTTAGGGCTGTTGTACATAGGGTCGCTATGAGTCGCAAACGAGTCGATGGCACATAACAACAACAACAAAAGGACAAATACAGTGTGAGGTCACTATTTTAAAAAATTCAAGAATAGATGTTCACATAGAAAGAAACATTTGTTGGTGATTACCAACACAGCCCTTGATGGAAACAGTCAGAAAACTAGACCGGATGAGTAAGTACGCATCTTCGAGGAACTGGAAACACAAGATGCAAAGTGAAGCAGACTTCTAATTAGAATCAGGAGGGAAAAGAACGGAGCTTAGTGTGGGTCTGTTCCAAACACACACACCCCTGGCCTTGCCAACACTGCCAAACATGATGAACAGGAGAAACTGTGACCCACTTTTATGTTTCTGATGCCGACATTACAAAGTAAAAAGTTCTCTGAATGAAATTTCTGACTGCAAAGAAAGTATTCCTCCCTCTTCTCCTACATTGACATATATTTACCAATACTTTATTCTTTCTTTCTCCAAAATATCTTTCTATATGTATTCTAATAAAATCTAACATATATTCTAATAATCCAATGAATTCTTTCATTTTGCTTTTTGAAGTTCTTTATAGGAATATGTTGCTGTTATTGTGTACTGCTTAGTCGAAACCAACTCATAGCTGACCCTCCAGCAGATTTTCAGAGGCTAATAATCTCAGGGGAGTTTCCCCGTCTTTCTCCCTCACAATCGCTGTTGGACTTGAACTTGGAAACCTTGGGTTGGTGGTGCAATTCCTTACCCACTAGGCTCCCAGACTTTCCTTTATGTGTATACGATTTCCAAATGTTTTACTTTAAACTGGAATTCACAGTGAATGATTTTATATGTGGGATTTAAAGAGGTAGATCATTAAGAAAAGGGTGGACATGTAGATTGACTTTCAGAATGATGTTAGAAAAAGAAAAGCCAGTTCAAATTCACCAGATGCTCTGCTGGAAAAGGAGGGGCAATCTCCTCCTGTACCAGTCAGATCTGATTTGATGGCACACACACAAAAATAGTTAAAAAAAAAAAAAGATGAAAAGCAAGAAGTGAATCAGTCAGATCAATTAACTTAAGTGTAGCAGCACTGATCAAGTCTACGATACATTGCTTATTTGATTTAGAAATGTTACTCATGACCATTTTCTGAGAATAATGGAATCAACCAGTCAGATAGCCAATAGTTAGAAGCACTCTATGTACACAAAATTGTCACAACATAAGCAAATTTAAGATCCCAGATTGAGAAAAGGATTGTATTTTGTATTTTAATGAGATGCTTACATGACTTTAAATGTCTGAGAAGCACAAAAAAGAAAAGAAAACATTCAATTGTTTGCAAACCTACCCAGTGCCTGGGGCCTCTGCAGCCGAGTGCTGGGTGAGAATTTCCTCCCCGCGGCTGGCCACCGATCTGAGAAGATTCTTCTGCTCTTCCAGTTCCTGTTCTAACTCCTGCACCAGAGAAAGAGCAAACACAGGCATCTCTGTCACGTTAGGATGTTACCTGCCATCTCGATTCCACGTCTAGGATATTCCCAGAGGCCTTTGGAAGTTGGACTGCAAAGTTGCCCACTGCATCAATGGTGTGTTTGGGCAAATTCTCTCCCACATGGCCGACAACTCACTCTAGCTTTTTCACAAAGGCAGTCTCTGTAAACTCTCTTGGCTAAGGGGAATAAAGAGCATATTGCAGGACAATGTTGCCCTCAAGTGGTGCAAAACACAATTTCACTTTTCTGTATTAAGATCCTCTGGTTTTAACAGGGAGAGATTCTAGGGAGAACAAGAAGTTCCCTTGAATTTTTTGCTTAAGGACTAAATTTTACTTCTCAGTATTGATTGTTGATGACTTTATTCCTTGAGGAATATTTTTATATTTCCTACATGTGAAAGTCAAACTATCAAGGAAAACTCATTAATTAAATCTTAAGTAACAATTTCCGACTCTACTTCTGTGACAATTATATTCTTTAAAGGGGGGGGGGGGCTAGTGATTTTTTTAAAAAAAAAACCAACTAAATAAACCCAAAACTATATGCTCAGTCTTTTAACAATTCTCAGATCTTGTTTCTAAATTATTTGAGTATGATGTGTGTCAGGGATATTTTGCTATAGTAAAACATTCATGGCTCTTTTTAAACCTGCACAGTGGAGATCTATGCTCAGAGGCTTCCTTTCTAAATCAGTCTAGCCCCATTAAAGCATGCTCACTGCTGTCAAGTCCATTGTGATTCACAGGGACCTCCAGGAAAGAACAGACCCGCACGACAGAGTCCACCGACCTGTCCGGCTTCTAAGGGTGCCATCTGTCCAGAAGGGACTGCCATAGCACTCTCCCATGACATGGAGTGACTGGTGCTTCCAACCTCAAACTTTTCATTAGAGAAACTGATACTTTCAGCATTGCATCACCAGGACACCATTGGTCCAGTCAGGAAAGCTTTCTTACAATGAACTAGGGATACATGACAAATAAACTAGTTATCTATGAGCAAACAGATTATAATTGAGTTAACTACTTCTAACGGAGCACTCTGATGGCCTGGTGGTTAGAAACTGCACTGCAATCCCAAAGGCATGCGGTTTGAATCCACCCGCTGCCCCACAAGGCAAGGATGAGCAATTTCCTCCTGTGTGATAGGTACTCAGCAACACCACAACTTATAACATAACAACAGGGTAGCCTGGTGGGTAAGGAATTGCAGTGCCAACCCAAAGGCCTGTGGTTTCAAATCCATCAGTTGCTCTGTGAGGGAAAGATGGGCAATCTCCTCTAATGAAATCTACAGCCTTGGAAAAGCTGCTGGCGGATGAACTATGTATGAGCTGGGGAGCTCTGAGGACTGAGTGCTAAGAAACTGCGCTGTAAACCCAAATGGCATGCGGTTCAAATCCACCAGATGCCTTTTGGGAGAAGGATGAACAGTCTCCTTCTGTGATTAACTGCCTCTGAAAACCCACTGCAGGCTCAGCTATGGGTTGGTCCTGACTCCATGGTTCACAACAGCAGCAGCTATGAGTTGGTTCTGACTTCACAGCAAGGAGTCTGAGGGAGGGAGATGCAAATGGAAATAAAACAGGTAGCCGTGGTCAGACAGATTATAATTGAACTAAACTATGTATAACCTAAACGTGAGCCTTCCTTAGCCTGGCGCTTTCGAGGGGTGGAAGCCTTTACCTTTTGCTGCTGGAGACTGCTCTGGCGCTGGTGGCTGCGCGTGGTGCGGGCGTGAGGCAGCCACTCCTGGACGCCTGGGCTCTGGGTGGCCGCTGGGTCAGCGTCGCTCTCCTCCTTCTCTTGGGGTGTCCCCTGCTTTTAATGAGGCCAGAATCAAAGGTCACGCTCATCACAGGAAACCCTTGGCCCAAAGACCACCACATTGCCTTGATGTGGTCTGTGTCAGGGCACCAAAGGGGAGCCTTTGGACAGGAAACCTCATTTTAAAAAAAAACCCACAAAGTAGTAACACAAACCTACTGAATCTATGGAATCTGTATTTGGGGACCATCAAACAGATGAATGATATACAGAAACATTTCAGATGGAAAAGCTTCCATTTAGAAGCTACATCTTCTAACAGTATAGTCATCAAATACTATTCTGAGTTTCCCCTCACAAGTATATAATTCTAGATCTTTCATGAGTTTCTTTTTTCTTTTTAAAATCATGCAAAGGTCATTGTTTCCCCCTAAAATGATCATGGCTTTTCATGATTTACTGTGTTTCTCTGGTGAAAGCCCTACTCCACATCCGTGTCTCTACCTTGTTCCAGAGCTCTGGATCACTGGTAGGGAGTTACACTGCCAATCTTAAGACAGGTGGTTCAAATCCTCCCGCTGCTTTTTGATCATCCTCAAGATAAAGATCAACAATCTCCTCCGATGTGATTTGCAGCCTCTGAAAATCCAGTGGAGGGTCAGCTATGTGTCGGTTCCAAGTCCACAACATCATCATCCTGTTCTGACTGTGGGTTTGCAGAGCTTTTTCTAAAGGGCTCGGACCAAAGGCAGTTTAGTGGCTCTGAGAAGCAAGACACAGACAGCTCTGGAGACATTATCCTCCCTGGGATTCAATTAGAGCTGAAATTTTATTTATTTTATCACTAAGGAAGAAAATATGACTACAGTCTAGTGGTAAGGAGTCCCAGCGAGGATAGTGCATCTTCTGTCCACCTTCTCTGCAGCCCCTAGAACTGATTCATAGGCCACAGGCCATTGGCCAAGACCAGAAAACGAACTCCCCAAGGCACTTAAAGAGTCAGGCTGCTTCCTGCCAGACAAGTCAGTCAGCTGGCTCCAAGGAGGGGTCCTCTGTGTTCACATTAGAACTGCACCCCTCAGGATTTTCAATGCTGGTGTTTCACGTCACCAGGCCTTTCTTCAGAGAGACCTTTGTTGAGCTTGAACCTGTAACCTTCCAGTAAGCATCTCAGCACTCTAATCACTGCATCATCAAGTGTCTCCCATGGCAGATGGCTTCAAAAACCTTCAGTGCCCATCCAATGGTTGCTGTTGTTGTCGAGTCATATGTACAAGAGCCCTAAACCCTGCTCTACTGTGTGCCAAACTTGTTGTCTCTGACACACTTACCCACATTACCCCAGTCACTGAATTGATCCAATGGTATTTTTAGATTTTTATTATTCTAGTCTGCTGTTAATATGTTAATATGCTTACGGCTGGAGATGCCTCTAAACAGAGTTAATACACTCTGCTCAAATAATTTCTTTTTAAAATATGTTTGTGTTTGGTGTGTTGGTGTTTTGCATCATTTTGTTTTCTAAAAGTATGGTACTGTCCACTGGGAATTGCATTGCTAACCGAAAAGCGGGAGCTTTCTGCTGGTTCAAGTTCAGAGCCGTTCTTCAGGAGAAAGATGAACCGTCCTCCTGTGTGATTTATACCCACAGAAAAGGAATGGAGGGTCAGCTATGAATTGTCCCGACTAGATGACAACGAGTTGAGTGTGAGTTATTAAAGTTAGAACATTTTGGGAGAAATCGTAACATTGTAGGCACACATGGTTAGCATTTTAGGAACACATAAGGTCAAGTATGCCTCTCTTGAAAAGTGATCAATCTCTGAAAATACAATGTTGGCATTACAACCTCCCCCATTTAGATGATTACTTCTGGGGGGGCCCAGCCACTGTCATTCCTTCTGCTACTGCTGCTCTCGATCAAACAGAGCTAAAGGAGGAAGATGAAGGTCATTGTCATTACCTAAACCAAATTCAATGCCCTCAAGTCAATCCTGAGTCAACACTGCCCTATAGGACACAGGCCATCCCTGTGATAGTCTATGGCTGTATTTTTTTTTTAAATATCTGAATAAATGTTTGCAAACCATATTGGGTTTTTATTCACTTAGTCATAGATTTGCGGTTTTTATTAGATTAGTTGCCACTGACTTAATGTACCCAATTAATTACAAAACTTTATCCACCCTTTGGCGTTTCCTTCGCCCAATGCCCAATGTTTATTAATTTGTATTCCTCTCTCCTCCCTCCCCCCCATCCCTGTTAACCCTCCAAGATGGCTTCTGTCTATGGGTAAATAAACCTTTCCAAAAGTTTTCATATGGTCTATGAAAGAATGTTTCTTTTCTTTTCAAAGACAAAAGTGAACTGGAGGGGAGGGGTGGGCAGGGGGGAAGTGCAACAACGAATGAATAGAAATCCAAAGTCTCTGTAAACTTTCATTAAAATTAATGGGGGGGGGTTAGAGTTCTTACACTATCACTGTCCTCTTTGGCTTTTACTGCTCAGCATAATTTGTTCTAGATCTACCCATGTTGTGTGGTATTTCACAACTTTATGAACTACTTTTGTGATATATATTCCATTGTATGAATGTACCAAGGGTTTTTTAGTGCTTCATCCACTGAGGAACACTTGGGTCGATTTCAACTCTTCACCATTTGTAAATAATGATGCAGGAAATACAAGTGTCTATAAGTTAGTTTGCCTCATCGCTTTAGTTTCATGCGATATATATACTTAGCAGTGGGATTGCTGGATCAGATGACAATTCCATTCTCAACTTTCTAAGGAAGTGCCGACTCTTTCCCCAGAAGGCTGAACATTTTTTTTTTTTAATTGTACCGTCAAATCAGATCTGACTGGTACAGGAGGAGATTGTCCCTCCTTTTCCCGGCAGAGCATCTGGTGGATTCGAACC